CTATATATTTATTTTTCGATTAATTGAGTAATTTGAGGTAAGATATGGCTGGATAATCTTCTTTACCTAGTTTTAACGTGAGGCTATTACAAGAATGAGTTCCAGACTTGCTAATGTCCACCATATGATGGACGATAGCTATGCACTTTTTCATCCGAAGCGAGGGAGGGTATCTCATGGACTGCGACAACTTGAACGTAATATTAAGGCCAAACAGCTGCAGTACAATGTGATTCAGCCTTTGTATTCTGATGAGATCAACCTATTAATCTCTTCTTTATGCAATTTTATACGAAATGAAGGACTTACCAACAATTTGATTTTATAGTTCATTCCAGCAATTGAGGTTTTTTATCAGGCTTATTTCTTTATTAATTTCGTCAAAAAATTCTTTCTGTAGTAATCTCTCTTTATGTTAGTATCGCTAAGACGCATGAACTCAAAGATAATTCTTTCTCCCGTTCCACTATTTTGTCCTCGATTGTCTCTAGTTATCTCCACCATGAAGCGAGCCATTGCCCTGAATTTGAGTATCTTAACTCTGGCCACATCTCCAAAAACCATTGAGGAGGATGATTCTCCCCTGGATGTTCAGGAGCCAGTTATTTCTGAGCCTGTCAGGCCTGCAAACAAACGCTTTGGGATAATCGAATTCTAATTCTGTAATTCACAGTTTAAAAAGCCATTTTTATCTCCCCTTGGCTCAACTCTTTTTGAATGTCCATCATCGGAACCTTGTTATCTTTTATATATGGTTTTCTTAATTTTCCTCATCTATTTTTCTGAGCTTCTAATCTCTTTGTCCTCCTTGTCTCCTTTGACCATCCTTTTTATCTTCATTAGCTCCTCTTTTTTATGGTTATCTTTCCCTCGCTCGTCTGTGCAGCTCAGCTTATGTATATCCCTTTGTTCCCGAGATGTTCTCTGCTGGCTCAAATTCTATTCATTTCTACGCTTTTCCTTTCCTGACATGGGCTTCTTATCTATTCGCTATCTTGTGTATGCTTTCAACTGTAAACACAAGTCTAGTCGCATTCTTCCATTGCGATGTGTAATTTCTATAATCTTTTACGCCTTATTTCTTAATCGAAGGTTATGCTCATTTATCCTTTGTACTAATTTTTTTACCCGCTGCGCTGCCTTTTTCTTTACTTATGTCATTCGTTTGATACCATAGGAAGCGCCTCTCTTCCTTACCCCTATTTCACCCTACCTTGCTTATTTTCTGCTTAGGCTCTTTTGGCTGGCAGGCACATCGGCTGTAATTTCTTCATTTTCACCGAACTAATATATCCGGCTTTAGTTTCGTGGTCGGCCATGACCTGCTCGCGTGCAAGTTTCTATCATATTTGAACTCCAAGAATACAAATTTACATCAAACGTATTCTGATAGCACCGGTTGTCTCTTCTTTATTGAGTCAGGGATCATCCCATACTAATTGGCAGCTCCCATGATCGTATTTTTAATAGTTAATTACCTTTACTTCTTTGGTCGTCTCCTAGTTCAAAATCCAAATTGCCTCTTTTTAGAGAGGCGGATTTTTATTCATCCTGGAGTTTCTCCATTCACTGCTGCTTCTACTGTATTATTTTTCATTTTCACTTTTGGATAACCCAGTGTGATATAAATTTTACCTATTTATTTTTGAGAAAAAAACTTGCTCTATGCTTTGAGCCCTACCTGGAAAATTTTTTATATTCTAGTTCAAAGGTCTTTATTTTTGCCCATGGCGTAATATAATTTCAGGTTTACAAAACATTTTAAGTGAAAGTCCTTGATATAAAAAGGCAGAGGGACTTTATACACTTGTTGACTTATTTTTGATACGATGAGAAACTGGGTTTACTTGAATCTCCTGATAACAGAATTG